AATTAAACCCTCACGACCTCGGACGCTCTGTCTGTCTGTCTCTATCTATCTTTTTTCTTTCTCCCGTCGGAGCGCGAGTCAAAACTTGAATACGCATGCAAATTCTATCCGCTTGTTTACAACAAGCATCTGGCAAGAGCGCGGCCGATCGCCGCGCGAGTGACACGGATATTTTCTTATAACCTCTGAAAGGCACCTACAGATCGAACGAATGCACGTCTCGCGCGAACCGGTCTCTGTCATGTGTGCGGCGAGATTCTATTCCACCCCGAGCTTGAAAACACAAATCGCGCGCGTTGCGCAACGTTATGTATATATATATACACGCGCGCGCGCGCGCGCGCGGCGAATAAATAGCTAATTCACACAGTGAATTAACATGCGCGGCACAAGGTGTGGCTTCTCCGCGGTTGGCCAGACAGATGGAAAACCGATTCCGAGCTCAAAAACTACTAACCTGTCCGTCACGTACGTTTATCGAAAACAAATCGTTGCGTAACGGTCGCGAATCGAGTTATTACCGCTACGCGCGATCGGCATAATGGCTTCCGAGTCACAACATGTGCAGCCGATTCGAACCGATTTCGAGTTCGAAAGTTCAGAACCGGTCTTTCCGTCAGTTTACATTAGCCGCGAAGTTGTTGTCGATCGAAAACAAATTGTTGTGCAACAGCCATATGAGCGAGATTATTATTTCTCTGCTCGACAATATTGCGCGCGCTTCAAATCACACACACACACACACACATATCCTCCCGTAGCACTCGTGCTTTAGACGATCTGCTATTATTTATACCGATCTGTAAAACAGAAATATATTCAAACGATCATTTTAGATGCTCTTCTGCAGAATTGTGGAACAGTCTGCCGGCAGACATACGTAGAATAACTAGTCTTGGTCTTTTTAAAGCTAAATCACATAGTCACTTTTATGTTGAACAATTACTTCGGTTTTCTTATTTATATTTATTTATTTTATTTCTATTGGTTGCTGTTATTTCTCATTTTTGTTATTATTATTATTATTATTATGTTTGGTATTTTATTTTATTATTTTGTTATTATTACTGTTATTTTCTTGTTATTGTCATTTATTATTTGTGTTCTTTTTCTTTTTATTGTTTCATTCTTTAATATTTATCTTTATCATTTTTCCTTATTTTTGATTATTCTTTCTGATTATTATTATTATTGTATCTTTTTATCTATATTGTTATTTATATTATCCCAGAGCGCTTTACAAATAAAGCAACATTCATTCATTCATTCACTCATTCACTCATTCATTCATTTATTCATTCATTCATACACACACACACACACACACACACAGACGAAAAGTCCCTGCCTTTTCAATTGTCATATTAAAAATATTCTCATTTAATTGTGCCAAATAAAAATTCTCCGACGAGTGGGACTTGGCGCAAGCGATTTAAAACGTTACCAATGTCGCCATTAACGGGGTTAAAAGTGTTGACTTGTCGACGCATTTGTGCCGTTACACGGAATAACAATTCTCGCAACATTAGAGGTACATTACTAATACATTAGGCGAGACCGAGCGCGCGGTTTATGTAAAGCGTGCGAAGTACGCTGCCAGCTATACGCGTGGCTTATTCTCCTGAACTTCGCTAACGACTTGGCCGTATATAAAAGTGAATAATCACGTATCCTCTTCTCGCTCGCTCGGTGCTCACCCGAGCGTCGCGCGTTCATTATGATGATATCCCCGCTGATATATCCTCAGCACACAAGTTGGCCGTATTTATACAAGAGACGGCAGGTTAATGACGGAATGCGCGACAGCCTCGTCATTGAGTACATAATTTATCAGCGATTAAATTAATATGTACTCGATTCGACATCAAAACACGCGCACACGCGCTTTTCGCCCGTCGCGCACAATTTTCGCGACACGAACATTAAATCTCTCTCGACGACTCGATCACTTCGCCGAAGAGATTTTTTATTTTTCGATGCAATTTACAACTGACAAATAAAATGTGTTTGCATAACGCGCGGATTAAATCAATATATTTACCAGAGCTGAAACCAAAGGTGCGAAAAATCATTATCTTCTCCGATATTCGATTTAATTTTACTTGCTAATTAATCGCGTCTATTATGCCAAGGTGAAATCACAAACGACCAATCCAGACCTCGCGTCGAACGTGCGGGGGTAGGGAAGGCGTGTGTGGTGTTACACACACCAGACATGCATGAAAATGTCTCGATCGGACAGTGAACGATCGACGACCTGATTGACCGATGGCACTTTGCACTTGCAAATGCAACGCTCAGACACCGATCAAAAGTGTTGTTTTTCTTTTTCTCGCGGAAACACCTAGCGACTACGCGACTACGCTAATGATATTCGATTTGATCGCTCGTGTGTAATATCTGTGTCACAAATATGCATTAATTGCCGCGAAGATAGTTTTCTGGAACAATCTGAATTACACAACGCGTCACTTTATCGAACGGTGGACAATAACGCGCTTGTCTCCTCGCGTTGCGCGAAAAAAATCGACAGTTCAAAGCGAATTACGCGCATACGCTCGACGTTAATTGTATTTTTTATAATATAATCTCTCATGCGCACAATGAGAGACGTAACAGCAGTGACGGAATATAAACGCGCATTTTCATTTCATCTCTCCAGCTTCGAAACGCGAATTGCGCCACGAGAAGAGAATAAAAAAAAAAAAAAAAAAGAAACAATTGTCGTTTTATATTTATAACATCATGGATTATTCCTCCTCATTCAGTTTCATGTAAATGCGAGAGAGAGAGAGAGAGAGAAAATTTATGAATCGTTATTTCCTCTTTCCCACGGACTCTCGAGGCAACATTGCAAAATGCGATCTAATAAAGCCGCGGACGCGTTATCGCCGCGCGTAACGCACAGTGCACGCCCTCGGCGCGCGTTATAAAAAGTGCCGAGCGTGCAACTATGCCGGAATACGACTACAATTTTGAATGCCGTTGTAGTTTCATTTGCATGTCAAAAGAGAGAGAGAGAGAGAGAGAGCACGACCGATTATGCTCTACCCGGTGCGGACGCGCGCGATATCGACGGAGGTCGTAACTGGAGCACGCGGAATTACGCACACGCGATTCGAACGCGAGATCCCACACTCTTCGCGAATGTGAACGCGATGCGAAAATCGAGAATTCCCTTCCACATATTGTCGCGCGCGGGGGATGAACGCGCGCGATTTTCGACGCGCGAGAGAGGTTCGACGACCGCTGAAATTGGATAATGCGCGTTGCGTCGCGGTAAAATTGAGGAGAGAATTGTCCCCCGAGTGGAATTACGCAACAACCGCAATGTTGATTACGTGCAGTTGTAACTGTTCTAACAAAATCGACGAGAAAAGACAAGAAAAAATTTCAACCGAAGATGAGTTTTAATTAATAGTGATCGTTATTTACTTCAAAAATTTCTCCAAAAACACGTTTCGTTATTTTTAAAATATTTTTTCCAACTTCTCTGCAGTTTGGTGTAAGTATAATTAAGCGATGCAATCTCGTCACTTCTCTTTTTCACACGTACGTTATTATTAATAATTTAATTTAATGATTTATTAAATTTGCATTTACGTATCATTAAAAAAAAAAAAAAAAAAAAAAAACAGAAAATAAAGGATCCAATTAAATATTGAAAACTCTCGACGATTTTGTTATTTCGTTTTATGTGACATTGATGATGTCATTGATGACACACTTGCATCAGCACATCGGGTAGCGTCTCATTTATACATTAAACAGCTGTTAAAATTCTCTTTCGGCAACACAATGTCAGATTTTCTCGGAATCGAAACGTCGTCGGCGTTATCAACATTTCTCGAATACCTGCGACATTCTTCCGCAAATTTCACTTTACGGCGAAATTTAATGAAAGTAAACTTTTGTCTGAATTCCGAAAAGAGAGATTTCCCGAGAACAAACGGCAGTAATAATAATACACGCTCTGTGCGATCCCGACAATTTTATTATTCTTACCTCGGACTGATTATGTTTTTTTACGTCAAGAGATTTCCAAGTGTTGCGTCTCGATGACTGTGTTTTTGTTTTCAATAAGATTGGCGAAAGATTCGTGTGTAAGTATGTAATCTGATAATTTTTTTACGAAATACTTTCAGATAATGTAAATATGACAAAAGGATATATATATAATAAAAAAACAATTTTTAATTACTGCCGTATCATCGCGATAGTATATTGATCCATAAAACCGAGTGTTTAATGAAACAAAGGCAACGCTTCAAAATCCATTGTTAACTAATCGATAACGAACCGTCATTGTACATGTGATGTACACACACAGTCATTACTACTCCACAGCTTGAAGTGCGCCGGAGCGCGCGATATGTGAAAATTGCGAAGATTGAAAAAGAAGATAAAAACTATCTGGCATCGCGCGATATTATGATCAATTCGTGGCGCGGCATTGAACGGTAAAAATAGACGAACTAGACAAGAAAAATAGATAAACCAGATAACTCGGAGTCGTTAAAAATTTTTTTTCTTTTTTTTTTGGTTTTTTTATTTTTTTGCATCGCGAATCGCGTTGACTCACTCCGCTTTGTGATAATGGTGACGTTGACGTGTAATTTTTTCTTCAAAATTAGCGCTGCCAATCATCTGTCATTACGCGCGTCTATGAAATTTCTAACGTCTTCATGTATATTTTTTTTTCTTCTCTTTCCTAACACGTAACTGATCTAACACAATACGATTGTTGTCATCCGTGGAATTGTTTTTTTTTGTCTCGAGCGAGACTCGAGGCTAACTTCAAGCTGTGTTTTGTACTGTCGTCAATCTCGATATGTTTTACACGTTCGAACAACTATTACTTACGTAGCAGGCGCAACTGTTGCAACCAATCAATCATTAATCCTCGATAAATCAATAATTAAAACAAATTATCCATCTCGCAAAATGATGGATCAAATTACGACGATATCTGGAATTGAACACAACAGATAACAACTCACCTTCTCGTCGAGGTTGTTCAGATCCGGCAGCTGAAAACAAAAAAAGAATTTGTTATTCGTACAACACGAAGATTAAAAAATGGTTAACAATTATATTTTAATATTTGCTTAGCGTCTACCTTGCGCGCCGATATTTCATTTTGTTAATCGATGCAGCGTGTCCGCGTTCGAATATACAAAGGACCGACATTCACGTTTACCTAACAAAGACGAATGAGACGGAAAACACGCGGGGAGTATATCGACAACATACCGACCCGCCATCTATGTCATTCAATCCGAAATGACATCCCCCCCGACTTTACCGACGATAGATTATCGACTCGCGTGAGAATCGAACCGCATTTGTTATCGTCGACACGAACGAGCGGCACGAACGCGTCAACAGATGCCGCTTGGGGTCGCGCAAAAGTTGCGGAGATTTCTCGCAAATTAAAGGAAATTGACGCCAATTTATATCAATCAGTCGTCGTCGTCGTCGTCATGGCTGGTTACATTCTGCGCGGGCTCCGGCGTGCACACCCGTGATGAAATTAATTTAACGACCGATATGTCAGACCGTTTGATTAACTTTCATGGTCGTCGTACGTGCTCCGAAAGAAAAAGAAGATTCCGGTGAGTTGAATAAAATATATATTTCATACGCGAAAAGCAGAATCCGAAATTCTCGCACGTAAATCCGGAAAGATTCATGTTCGGCCTGGGCGCGAAGAAAAGATTACAATATATCAGCGATTTTATCGCTCTCACACACAATCGGTTATTAAAGATTTATATATGAGAGCGGGTCTTATAATTAGACGATTATATATATATATAAATTTGAAAACACTCGTTTACTTTAGAGAGCGATGATCGAGCCCGCTCGTATGTATGTCGAATCAATCAACGTTATCAACGCGTTCGACGCAAAATTTCTTAAGTAAACACGAAGACATCGATGACAAATCTGCCGTTTTTCCGAAAACCCAATCGGAACACAAACTTGATAAGAAACAAAACAACAAACAACTTGAAGTACTTTTTATCGCTGTAAAGTTTACGGACTCTACACAGTGTAATGCACAGTTCTGAATTTATTAGAGCGCGAATGCGCGCAGCGGCGGGGTTTTTTTTTTTTTTTTTTTTTTTTTTTCGACGAATCGATTCGGTCGGTGGATCGGATTATCGGAGAAGAACCCGCGGGATATCGATTTATAAAAAAAAAAAGTCTTTCTTCTTTTATGTTCTTTTCTTCATCTCGCCGCCGCCCCCTTTCCATCACGGACAATTTCGAAATCGCTGACCGTTCTCGGTCAGCGGAATCCGCCGGCGCTCCAGTAAATGCGTAATCGCGCATAAATCAACGCGCCGCGCGCGCGCGCGCGCGCGAGCGGTGCATATTTATGCGCCTGCGGCTCCGGAGAAATTAAATTCACACATTTCATCGAACCTGTAAAGCATGCGCATATTTTGCGCGTCGCGGAACGCTGAGAATGCAAGTCATGCGCGAAGGATGCGCGAGGGGAATGGAACACGGAGAAAGAGATTTCTCGTTCGTCCCCTTTCGCCGCAGCATCATATCATTCGCGATCTCTCCCCCCCCATTGTCGCGCGCATACTAATTGAATCGCCTTCATTAAGACGGTTCGTCTCGCGACGAGTGGGCGTTCGCGAACGTAAACGATATATTTCGCGTTGCGACAGCGATCTGCAATTTTTATGCGACCTTATACATCATCTTGCGTGGCGTCGCCGCCGCCGCGTGCTAAATATGTTGTAAGGGGAAAGACGAGGCAGAAAAAGAAAAAAGTCTCGACTTATATAATTATTCATAAGTCCGATTATAAATTGCGATATACCCGCGCGCTGATTAATTCGATCGGCGGAGCAGACGCAAACGATTTTTCACGAGTAAAGTTTAAATCGTGCGTCATGTTTTAATTAAACAAAAACAAAAAAAAACAACCTTATTAGTTACACACAAATAGAAGATTCAAAAAGTGGTTATTAAATGTGATCTATTACTGCTACGTATTACATTACGCGATACCTTATTACTATTGCGCATTTCCAATTGACTGAGAATATTCGCATTATCGCTTCGATCCGTTTGACATTCGTACGACTTCGTGTGCATCATCGTCATGCGCGCAAGGTTGAAGATTGGGAAATTGTTTAATGAGCCGTAAGTAGGTAATTGTGCGCGTCTCGCATCGTGTGTCTGCAAGCGGTAAATAGTCCGATAGCAGCCAAGATTTATTAATATAAAAGGCTTTAAGTCTGATGAGGTAAAAATATGGGGAAACCTCGTGTCTTAAAATAAACGGATAAATCGGGTTACCAGAGAGAATTGTGAATATGTAGAGAAATGTAGAACAGCTTTTGTTTTTAATTATATCTCAATTTGTGCAACACACGCACAAGACTGAAAAAAAAAAAAAATTCTCATTTCTATTTTAACAAGTAACATGTAATATTCCAATATTGTAACACATGTAATGAGAATGTAATGTACAAATTTCACGTATCGACTAACTTAGTTAAATAATTTTTAATTTTACCAAATATTAAAAAAAAAATGCAACGTAATTAAATACTTTTTATTTTCATAGTTAAATACTTTTCAACTTTTTTACCATTTGTTTTTGTAAATTTAATGCGACATAATTATTGATTAGAGATATTTCAAAACGGCGAAATACTCTCCGCTGCGGCGAGCAACATGGAAATCATTTGCAAGATTACAGAGAGAGAGAGAGAATATGTAACGGGGAAAACCCGACGTGAAAATAATGGTTATATCGTGTTTGTGGGTTTATTAGAAACATAAACAAATAGCACAATGTTTATTATGCATTCTCTCGGTCTATAACATTTCATGCATAATCGCCGCTTGTATGTGCGCCAGTTTATACTCTCGCGGTTCGCGTATACGTGCATACACATACGCGCGCGCAGTTTAGTTGTCGCGCGCAGTATTGTCGTCGCTTGATGACGGTACTTCGTCGTCGCGTGTGTTTGCGATTTACGCGACGAATAAACTTTGATTTACCGCCACTGTTCGCCGAACGCAATTTCTGCCGGCCGCATCCGCGGCGCGAAAGGAAAAAGAGAGAACAAGTTACACACGCTCGCCGCGCAATATTTCATCATAACGGCGAACAAATCTATCGATTAAATTCCTTTTTTTTTTTTTTTTTTTTATGGATCTACTTGATAAAATCAGCTGTCACCGTGATAAATTATTTTATCTCAATTATTTTATCGCAAGCTGACATTTTTCGCGATATCGAAAGAAAAAAAGAACATTTTTCTCGCTGAAAAAAGAAAAAAAACAAATTTAGAAAAAACTTGTCGCTCTACTTTTTTTTCTGGCGTTCTAATGAATTTCCACGCTTATTTCGGTAAACAGCAACGAGTAATTCCGAGAGATTAAATATACAGGCACGAGAGAATCTTGACGTACTTACGATCGCAACTTTTCGTGTAATTCCACGGAGCGCGCGGTGCAACTTGCAAAAAGGTTAGACGTAAGGATGGAGAACTTCTCTCCTTCTCTCTCTCTCTCTTCTCTCTCTATCTTCTCCGGTATACGGTACCAGTCTTTTTGGCAGAAATTCTCATCAGCGAGAGAATCTGCCAATATCTCGCTCAACAAGCGAGCGAGAGAGAAAAAAGCTTTTCCGTGCACGTAAACCGGCGCGGAAAACCGGGCGCTCTTCCTTTGAGGTTTCCTCAGTTTCGCGGAAACGAAAAAATTTACCGCTGCCCTCCTCTCGCGTCGAAATTTATTTCAACTCGCTTCTCGCGAAGCCCTCATCCATCTTTCCGGCCCGTAAAGCAGAGAACCCCGGAGATGCAACGAGAGAACGTTTCAACGGCCGCGAGCGCCACGACGAACGTGGAACCTGCCCGCGAGCACGCAACATCACGCAAAACGGAATTTACGACCGCCTGTCGGAGTAGAGAGACGCGCTCGCACACAAACGTTTGGCTTTCTAATATTCACCGTACGTCGCAAAAAAGAAAAAAAAACGATGGAAATAAATTTGCAAGACGAATGCATAGAAAACTGCCATTAGAGGATAACAAGAAATAAACGTTCGCTTGTAGGACACATATATTGAAGATTCGTGGGAAAAACCGATAGCTTATCCGGTCCTTCCCCGTGTACGAAAAACACAGCCGCTCTTTCGGCCGCTCGCGATATCGACGGCAATATAAGTGATGGCGTTCATATTCCTGGCCGTTCGTTCAAGTTGTTTCGAGAGTTCAACGACGATTCCTGCGCCGCGCCGGCCGGAATATTATACCGTTTTTCCCCTCTCTCTTTCGCTTTTCCTGCTCCCTCTCCCTCCCCCCCCCAATCCCCATTTTATAGTCGCTGCATCTCCGCGAATTCGCAACCGGCTGTTACCCGGCTCTTAATCTAACGATACGGCCGGGACTTACAAAACGATCGGGATAAATCTGCGATAGTGCCGGTATATGTATATGTGGACATATACAGTTTCCACATGAGACCGTTAAAGTTTAACAGCTGTCGTTGTAACCGTCGTTTCTTTTTTAGTACGAGGGAGAAAAGGGATAATATAATTGCTCCTCGCGCCTCGATGCCACCTGTAGCGAGTGACGGCGCGCGTAAGAAAAGTCGATCGTAATGAGCAACGACACGTATTTTATTTTATTTTCATTTTTTTTTTTTTTTTTTTTTTAATATATTTCACGTACGTTTTCTTATATACAATTTATTATTTCGTTTCTCATATGTACAAAAAACGTTGTAATGTATAAAACGTTTAACAAAAATTTATATACATCTATTTACATTTTTGTTGCATCTGATTTCTTTGACTCGTTTTTTTTTTTTTTTTTTTTGATTTATTTTCGTGTCAACGTCGAACCACAATCGCACGTTGAATCTTGTTTCAATCTCTTGTATCAACGCGTCAGATATCTGCGCACGTTTTTGTTTTCTCTTCCGGCGATAAATCCTGAAAAACATCCACATCCGAGTCAAGTTGATTCGAAACAAATATATAACATGTGTGTGTGTGTATATACGCGACTCCGTAAGTCAATTAACGTACGATTCATTCGTAACTATATATAATCGTTTCTCTTTACCTTACACGACTCTCTCGTCGATTCTCACGTCAAAAAAACGTCACGCACCCGTATCTAGGGTTTACTTGCCGACTTCGATTTGCCGCAAAGAGCGTGCGCGAGAATTAAGAATCGAACACCGAAATCAGTTTCATACGTAATATCGTTAATATTACGTTATAGATACCGGATCAAATTATCCAGACCACTTTGCGAACACAGAGTTGAATCGCTAACGAGATTTAACGAGCATCAATTCTCTCCCGGAGTATTTAAAGAAGATTGAAAATAGATCGAAGGGGTAAATGTCCCCGTTTTTTTTTTTTTTTTCCCGTGAACCCTTTCATCGAAGCGACGCCGTGTATACACGATCGGCGGCGGTACGATCGTACACGATCGCGCGCGTCGCTCTAACCATAAATAAACATCCACGGCAGGAAAATGGTGACGCAGAGCGCGGCAACGCAGCTGGACAACATGGCCAGCAGACTCGAGCCCGCCTCTCGAGTGTCCAGACCGTCCGTCGCGTCATCTTCGTCGCTGTCGGAATCGACGTCACGCTCGAATTCGTACACCTCAACCGCGCATCGAAAGCGGATGCGCGACGTGTTGCTGTTGAAGTGGGCCGCGTCTCTGCGCAGCACTTGCATCCCCGAGTCGTTGTGCTCCAACATCCACCCGGGTTCCTGCACCAGATCCATTTTTCACGGCTAGCAACGCCGTAAGTTCCTCTTCCTCTTACGAGCTCGAGGAGAATATTCTTCCCGGTCGGTTGACCTGCAAAGAAAAGTTTTTCAACATAAGTCGGTAAATCGCGCGCGCGCGCGCGCGCTGCAAAGTGCGCGAGCGGTTAGAATTTAATAAACAAGTTCGATCGTGCCACGATGCGGATCCAAAAGGCGGAGGTCCCTATATATTACGTCACGTGTACAAAAGTTCGATATATTATATCGCACATTTCGCGTTTCGTTTTTCGACTCTCTTTTCTCAATTTCTTAACGAATTTTGAGTTTTACACCAGGCTGGCTGGAATGTGTCACATCGCATCGAACAATTGAATCGTTTGTTTTTTTCTTTTGACCACGTTCGTTTCGGAAAAAAACACGTGTCGATCTCGTGTTGTACAAATCGCGCGCACACGTTTCGAATTCAGACACGCTCTTTGTCGTACGTAGTCTCGAAACTCGGCGAAGTTGCCAAGGTTTTATCGAACGCGTGTCGCGCGTTTTACAAAACGTGTCAGAGCCTCGGGCGAAAAGCTAGAGAACCGGTCCTCTCGCCATCTCGTCTGGCGAGCGGTGGCGCGCGACGGCTGCTGGACAACGACGATTCATCGGCTTCCTGCTCTGACAGAAACGAGAATTAATCGAAAAAGCAACTTCGACAACTTCGCCGCCGCGGCTTCCGGCAGTGAGATCGCGGACAGCTGTTAATACTTCCCTCTCCTCTCTCTCTCTCTCTTTTCCCCTCTCCCGATCGATCGTCACGCCGCTGGTCGCGCGCTGACAAACCCACATTCGCGACCAACGAGGCAATCTCGTAAATGTATTGAAAAACAACGAGAAAGGTCGAAAAAAAAACTCGGTTGTGCGCAGCAAACCGCGACGCGCGATCGCGAAATTGCAAGTAACAATTAGCAGCTTTTATCACCGCGGATAAAATGAAACGCGAAAACGCGCGCGTATTTTAAATCATCCGCGCGTACGCGCCATTTCGAATAAACAATTTTAATTCTATCTTGAATCTATTTTGACACTAAACGTATGCGCGAATGACGTGCGCGGCGAATGTAAAACGCAAATGTGCGTGACAGAACGAGAGAGAGAGAGAGAGAGAGAAAGAAAGAGAGAAGAAAGCGACGTAGAATAGAGAAAACGCACAGAGTCGATGTTGTTGTGTAATTCAGTCAATGGTTTATTTTTGTGCCGCGAAACAACAAATCGATTTAAATATTTAGACGCGAATACTAAAAGATTAACTTAACGGAACGGGGACGGAGGGGAGGGGGGCAGCGCTTTAAACGCAATTCGAACAAACAATATCGCCTATTTATTTTCAATATGAGCCTTTGTGCGCGCGCGGCTTCTCCGAAACTCCGCCCGAAGGCACAAAGTTCCGAAACACTCGGTATGCGCCGCAATGCGGGCAATTAAACCGTAGTTTGCCATGTCGATGATTACGGCTTGTCGAATTAAATCCGTTTGCACGCGAGGCTAAACAGAACCCTCGGTGACAATGCGGCTTAATTACAGAACGACGACGATCCGAACGTCAACGCCGAGCAAACACGAAGAAACGTTGGGGAATCGCCGGATTACGGTCATTTGAGAAAAACACACGTTCCGCGCGCTCCCTCGTTCATTATCGTCTCGACGTTTCTTCGTCAATTTTGCGATTTTAACGATCGCGCGCAACGACGACGACGACGGCGACGAACGAAACAATTTTCGATACGCTAATGTCGATGTAACAAACGAAATTGCAAGTCGTAAAGCGCGAAGAGAGACACAGATTGTGTTATCGATCTTTGCGAAGTTTCGGGATGACAAATAAAAAACAAAAAAAAAACAAAAAAAGATACTTATGCGGTAATAATTCACTCTGGGAAAAAAAGAGTTGAGCGAGTAAACGCATATTTCTTTTCCGGTTATTAATATTTATGGTGCAAATCAAACTAGCGATAAACCATCTCTTGCGTAAAGAAACATCTCTGTTTTGCATAGAGTTCAGCCGCAACAACGTCATCGGCTTACGATAAACATCGCATAAATGTGTCGCATTTTTTTGTTTTGCGCGAGAGGGATGCGTGCGCGGGATTTTAGAGATTCGCTCTAAAATCTACAACGTAGATAGATAGAGATATAAATGTCGAAGCCGACGTTTCGTTCCGCAACAACTTCGCGAATAACAATAAGCTTCGCCTCGGCATAATGAGGTAGTTTTGTTACAATATTAATATTTCTCCGTAATAATATTTAGCGAAAAGTTTCGCGCGAGCGCCGCGAAATACCAACGTTTAGCTCGTCGAGTTTAGTTTTTGCACGTGAAAACGAAACTTTTAATTAGTTTAAATCCAACCGTAATAATTCCATTCCGATAGCCGGAGGTAACGCACCTTGCAGCGCGAGCACAGAGAGCGCCACAGACTTTGCAAAAAAGAATAGGCCCCGCCGCTCTCTCTCTCTCTCTCCCCCGCATTATCTCGCAGCGAGTTTCTTAATCTTCCTCGGTAAAAGCGAGATAGAAAGAGAGAAACGCAAATGAAGATTAAGTGCCGGTAAGTATAACTTACGACCATCTTTCTTTTCGAGCTACTAGCTAACACAAGACGAGACTAATGGAATTTTCTCGGTCTCCGATCTCTCTCCTCTGCTTCACTTCGCCGTGCGCGAACAATGACCATCGAACCACTCGAATCTTCCTTTTTTCTCGTCATGTCGGTTTCGAGAGGGGAGATGAAACAAAAAAAAAAAAAAAGAGAGAAACATTATACGACGAATAAATTAACACATCGTATAAAATTAAACGTGACTTAGTCGCGCGAACAATGAAAGGTGAACGGTCGATGTATTCATCGAACAAAGTTTAATTACCACTGTGTTCCATCACGACTAATTCTCTTACTCCGTAATGTGATCACTGACTTTTTATCTCTCTACCTTGCAATTTGCTAAAATTAAATAAAACATGAAAATGTATATAAACATACACCCGGTATTTTATCCCGTTGTTTCTTTTGTTTTTTTTTTTTTTTGGCCACTAAAAGTAACGAGCGAAATTCGATAAAACCGATAAATATTTATACGCAAACAAATATAGTTCGTTGTAAAAAGTTTGCCGAGTCATGAGAGAAGTTGCACGGTTAGATTATTTTATATCAACGAATCGGCACACGACTCGTCAATTCGCGCGCGAATATAACCCACATACGCGTATGAAAAAAACTAAGAATAATTTAAAAAAAAGACGTAGTGTCAAAGACAACAAAAAGGAAATATAAATTTTTGAACGGATTGAAAACGAATTTGAAAACACGAAAATCGATGGAAAAGTAAAAATATAGACAGAACTCACTCTGTATCCTACTTTTTTTTTTTTTTTGCAAATTTGTGAAAGCAACTTCGACGTGTGTACAAAGGACGAGAATAAACTGTGACCCCAGTCCGCGAATTCTAGCCAGTGAAAAACTATTTCGCGTCAATGTGCAGACGTAAGCGCGCGAGCGCGCGCGCGGTTTTCTCTCTCCTCTTCGCCGAGATTATTTTAATCTCGACGAAAGTAGGTAGAGCACGCCTACTTACTCAATTGTGACAAATTACGTCGCGCGAATTTCGAATCGCGCCCGATTGAGAGAATTCGACGAACGACGGCGACAACGACGAAGTTCAGGAGGACGATCGCCGCCTTCGAACGACTTCCCTTTCGGGTTATCGCGATTTTGGAAAGTTGCAAGGCAAGGTTACGAGATTGCGGCACAATGACGCGTTTCGGAACTTCCTTATTCTCCGGAGGAAAGAGAGTTTTCATCTTATCACCGAGTTGTGATAAGCGCTAAGAATATCACTGAATACGAACGAAATAACATTGACGTTCTCGCTCAAGTGTTTCTTTCTTCCTCTATCGACGTAAAAGGATTAAAATAAAAAAAAAAAAAAAAACAAACAAAAACAAAAAGTGTAAGAATATTAAGCGTTCGACGTGCTTAGTCAGAGTTTTTTCCCAGGAAAATCGAGAACACGTCACGCTGCAAACGTTACAAACGCTCGTAATCGCCGATCCAAGGAGTGCAAAGCGCTCTCGAGCAAACAATGCCCAAGAACAAAGTCTCTTCCCGAGATGCGCGTTGATAAGTCGCTTTTCTCCTCCCGGGAAGCTTCCGGGAAACTTGCCGTGACTATTTTTCGTCGCATTCCAGGACGAATGCTTTCAAACTCGTGTAACTTGAACTACTTTCTCCGCGCATACTTGGAAAGAGTTTTGCAAAAAGCGCGCGCGTCTCGCGTTAAAAGCGTAGATACGGCGAAGGTGAGCGGCACCTCATCGCGACGACAAGATACCGTTCATTCATTCGATTACGTCGTCACGCGGATGAGAGATACTCTCGGCAGATTTCTCTCACATCCGTGTGCGCGCGCGCGCGCGAAGAGTCGTCGTCGTCGTCGTCATCGTCGTTTCTATCGCGACCGAAATAGCACTCGCAGAGTTTTAATATATCTAGGAAAAGCGATAAGATATTTAAAAAAGAAGGAAAGAGCTCGTTAAAACGTACGTATCGCTTGAAACTCTTTCCGCTGTTTACGAGCAGCAGTTTTTTGACGCGTCGAATTTTATCTTCGAATAATGACACAATAAATAGATTATAAAATAACAAACAAGATAGATAAAAGGTCAAAATCGAGCAAATGT